GCAGGAAAACACGACCAATTGAAAATACGTCGTGGAATTTTTTTATGATCACGTGGAAACTTAGTAATAACTAGAACAGTAATACAGCATGGGGGGAGGCCTTTCTGGTCTCAGAAATCTACTAATCATCAGGCGGCAGGAGGGAGGCGTTTTTCGCTTCCGTAAAAAGTTTTGAAACTTACGAGTTTTGTTCTTTAAACTTACGTGAGTATGTTGTGTTGATAACCATTTCGAGCTATCGGTCAGTAGGACCTTGTTTTCGACGGCCGTATCACACGTACATTCCTTGTACAAGCCGTTTTACAAAATCAAGCCAGACGCCGCCCTCTCAGTTTTCCTGTCACTTTCATCAGACCCGCGGTTCTCAGGACGTGCAACGCGGTGATACCATCGTATTTTGCGTATGTTTCGTGGGAAGCGTTGCTGCATGCTGTCGTACAGAGCTTCACGGCATTTCAAGACATCAGGTGTTTTCACACTGTACATAAGCACCTCGAAAGCGACTGTCTTCAAGACAGTAATCGACAGCTTTCATGACATAATCTGATTCACTGTGTAACAGACACATTTGAACCACGCCAACGCACATTCATGTCCAGCAAGTATCAAGGTAGTTTTTATAAGTTGGAATTTGGAAGTTCTCGACTGGTGATTGATTGGTCATCAATCATTCTCTCGAAAATTGCTTGAGACTCTGCATAAGTACTCTTAAGTTCACTATGCGCCTATGTACTGTAGGACTGTTTTCTATACAGTTTTTGTGTTTGTCTTCATAATCGCAGTATGCCTTTGAAAACTTCCCCTGTTTCCAAAGATTAAACATTCCGTAACATGAGACAAAATACTGTTTCAAAAAACAGAATTAAAAATGAAAAGTGGAATATTTAAAAGTCATCAAAATATTATCAGCTGCTGCGGCGCGTAAGAACAGCTGGAAATATTTAAGCTTATATGTCAGATTCGTCACTTTCCAATTGTCTATGGGCACGTGACTATAATTCTTACTGTAAATGTTTCATTGGTCATGTCAGCTTTCATCATCAGTCCTAAATGCCTAACGTACTAGTTCAAATGGTACTGCTGTTTATTGTACATTCAGAGAACAATAAAGAAGAAAGCACGGTTGAGGGTTCACTGTTCCGTTGGTGTGATGCAGTGCTCATACATATATCATCGATCAAGGGCACCTTCTACAGTGTCTTTGTCAGC